TTCAGAAATATGTGTCAGAGGTACACACAAACACACAGAAAAGTCACTTTTGTATCCACATTCCACAACTCGCAAGTGTATCATGCCATTGAATTTGTTGTTTATGCTAAGGAAAGGCGGGTCAATTCCAGTCAATTTAGGTATTTGATGGAGCTGGCCAGATTGGGCAGATCAGTGACCTCTCTGGCAGACAACCTTCACTTCTATCCAGCAGGTCCACATTAGGTTGTTTACACAGCCAACAAATATTTTGGACAAAAAAATGGCATTTTTTCCCCACTGCCATATACACTGTTTTATAATCCTGTTTTGGGGTAAGTTGTGCGCACACCACTTGTCACTGCCCTGTATGATTTTGCATGAAAGCGAGGAGAGTCCCTTGACCGAGAACCAGAATGATTCACAGGTGTTTTGAGAAGCAAGCATTTACACTGCAAAACAGTTTTTAAAGTTTTGCCGTTTTTTCCTTCAATAAAGAGGTGATTTTTTGTTGTTGAGTTTTTCATCAAGTTTATTGGTAGTTGTTAAGCAACTTCCACAAAAATGTTATGAAAAACCAAGGGTTTGTGCTTTCAGTGTAAATGCAGCAATCCAGTTATTAGCCCCAGGAGGCTCAGGTTGCCTAGCAACGGAAAGCTAGCAAATCTAAACAAGGAGGCCTATTAACCTCCACCTCCCAGTGGATGAGGCAGTGATTAGGGATTTGTTCTGACATCAAGCGTGCTCTTTGGTCAATTTCAAGCTCTGTTTTCAGAACCCCTTCGTTTCCCCATGTGGTAGTAGTCACTTCTGTAACTCATTACCACAATATATCGCTACAGATATTTGTAAAAGGAATTTGTCCTGTTGGTTGAAGTATTTGTGTATCTATTCTAGAATATTGTAAAAGGGAGCTATATAAAGAACTATATAAAGAACTATATAAAGAACTAAAGAGAAAAACATGAACATGCTATACGTAGAAGAGACAAAATTGTTATCTTCAACAGCAAGTGCTATTCAGGCTCTTTGGCTTTGCTCATTGTGGGAGCTTGAGAGATGTTAGAAAACTACAGTAAAGCTGAGCTGAGCTGGTGATTTGATTTAGGAAGTTTCATACCTTCGGACTGAACTTACAAAATGTTCCTATCTATTTTTAATCAGCATGATTTTTCATTTTTTAATCATTCTCAACTTCTTCTTTTTTTCTTTTCTCATTACCTTGTCTTTCATTTTGCTTGAGTCAAATTGTCATGGTATTGTTACAGGAAAAAAACAACTTTTCGGGGGCTACTTTTCAAGCTTGTTTGCATGAAAAATAACACTCTTTAATTTGTTTTGCTTTGAACTCTATGCAAATTTTTTTGGCTCTTTTATGCATTTCGGGGGCTTATTCGCCCCGAGCCCTTGTGTTTTTTTTTCACTGACCTGTTCTTTTTCTCATTTTCTTCATGTTACTTTTCTTCTCAATTTCTACCTCTTTACCTTCATCTTCCCCACTGTGCATCATATTTAGAGGCACATTTTGATTACACCACTATTGTTTCTTATTAACCCCATGTTGATTGTCTTGCTATCTGACCTTGCTTTGTTTATGTTGTTACTACATAGTAGCATGACATGAAACACCAGGTATGACATTGAAATATGATGAGCTTTTACATTTTCCATATTTTTTTGAGAGAGAAAAACTGTGGCATACTTTTAAGAGAGGATTTTGCAATTTCTATGATACAGTGAGCCTGCTTTAGAAGAACACTTTTGTATAAAGATCACTTGTCACATTTCTATGTTTCCCTTGACAATTGTTTCTCATTTAAACCTGTACTAAAGTAACCCTGTTCACAGACACCACCTGCTTATAAAGCAGGGCTGAGCTTGGACCTCTTGAAAACTTCTTTAGAACAGAGGGTCCCAGGTTCAAGTCCCACACATTTTCACAGGCAATGTGAAATCAGTACTGTGTGGTATGAAATGTTGCAGGATGCAGATGGAGAAGGAATGACGAGAGAGAGGGGGGGGGGGGGGGGGTTAAGAGGGTAGGAGGGATTGATGAAACTCCTCCACCCCCTCCATGATAGTAATGGAGGGAGTGAAGTTTATGTTTTACTTTGTGAGGTTGGACGGGGCTGGCAATTATTAACAACACAATAACTATGTATTGTGTTGCTTATAATTGCCAGCCTATATTTGAACATAAACTCAGCATTGGACGATAAGTAGGCCTATATACTAAAGTATAGGTCTATTCCCCTTTTTTGTCTCTCATGAGCTATAGAGTTTTTAAATATTTTAAAACTGCTAATATATTCATGGCATAAGACACGGCCAAAGACATAAAGATGGCATCGATCCTGTGGTAATGATATTAGTCACATTACAGACCAACATGCTGAGCACATTACAGACCAACATGCTGAGCACATTTTCAAACATTTCAGTGACCCTAAAAAAGTGGTTCAGGCGGAAGTGAAATCAGAACATGAATTAAGAATGTTAAGGTGCATCCCAAACAAACTCAGGCTTGAAAATTCTGAGTCTGACTGGTGAACATGATAGCTGTAATCTAAATGCATCATGCAGGGTGTGGCACCAAAATCAAATCCTACATGAAGTCAAACAGTTTCAGATTTTGAAAAACAGTTCCTGATATTAAATCACAACAAATTTATACTGCCTGTGTCAAAAGTGGTTAGCACCATATGGATGTGTTCACCTTGTGGTTTTGTTTACACTGAGCTTAAAGCATTTGGTACTTTTAAAGACACACCCTAACTCTGTTTCCAAGTGTATTGTATCATAGTTCACATTCACACAGACTTTATGGAATTAGCAATTAATATGTGAACAAATTTTGCACTCAGCAGCTGAAAAATTGGTGTCTCATGGAAATTTTGGACATTTTTCTATCATCTTTTAGATTTGGACTTCATGATCATGGTGGCTTTACCTCGATCATGAGTACTACTTCATAAAAATGAATAGTGGGTGTAGCATGATGTAAAGCCTGTTGGTCACAAAAAGTGAAGTCCGTTCTCTGTGATTGCAGTATAAATGCAGCTAGTGCATCTTAAATTATTATCTGCTAAGTGCTGGTGTTTTCTATGTATTATTCCTGCCAGTTTTGGGGAGTTTGTTTGCATTATCTATGCTACATGATCTACAAGTCAGAATAACATTTTGCTCATAGTACATACTCCCTTTAAAGTATGCAAAGTCTTGAAGGTGATTCACCCCCACAGCTCCCACCTCCCCAGCTCCCACCTCCCCATATTATATCCTATGAAGTATGTATATAATAATTTCAACTAAAGCAATGTCCCATCTACACATCTTTGTTAGCCATCTTAGGGTACATTTTTAAAGCAAGTTTTGACACTTTTATTTTAATATAACATTACTGCAACTTACTTATCAATTCACAATGATTTTTAATACTTTTTCTTGTATTGAAGCTTTGATTTGATCTCAGCGAGTTCTACAGATTGGTTTCAAAGATCCAACCAAAGAGACAGAGAAGAAGAGAGTACATGCGCCAGCTGTAGAAATACCTGATTGTTTATAGGACTTATTGAAGACCTTCGCATCCTATTAACTGTTCACACGTCACAGCCTAGCATCTGTGATCTGATGTGACATACCTTATACCAATCTCAATAGGAATGGTCTATTTAGTCTGCTAGAAATCGAGGTCGGTCTTCACTATCCTGAACTTTAAAAATATGTTCCTATCTCTGTATATATACCATACTGATAACCTGTGCCACATTGTATTTATCATGAGTATAGAAGTACCAAAGGCTTCAAGATTATTTATGAGGTTCGAATTCACTGTTAATCAATGCCAGTGTTCAAAGTGTTGTCATGGAGGTATAATCAAGACTGAAAATGTGTAATGTTGCAAATCCATTGTTTTACACTCAATAATCCTTCCTTCAAGTGGTGCCTACTGTTTTGTGCAAAATTGTATGTTTAGTAATTAAGTGACCATGCAGATTGCAGAGAGGCAGAAGGCACTTGAAATAATTAGGTGAGGTGCATCATGTTTCTGTCACAACATAACTAATTCTGTAGCTACTACCTAAAATACAGTGAAGATTTGGTTATTTCACCATTTACTTGGGAAACTAGCTTGGACGTATGCCAAGTTGTGTTGGTCTTGTTTGTGATTTAGCCCAGTATATAGTCCCTTCTTGGTGGCTTAATTCACAGTAAAAAAAAAAAACTCTGGCTTATTGCTTTGTTGCCCTTGTACGCTTCCATGCAAAAATACCTTTCCCATTTCCTGTACTTTGCATACTCCACACAGGGACTGCTATCAAGTCCCTGCTCCACACTAGGATTTATAAACACAGAAATAGACAAGAAATAAACAGCTTTGTTGTTATCTCCTACTAAAAGACAAAAGTACCTTTCAATTTGGTATAATATTTCAGCATTATTTTTTAAACTCAAGCTTACTAGGACTAATGAGGAGGCATCCTTTTCTCTTTAGAAGACTAGGTGTGAGAAGTCGCTGTGTTGCTCCCCATGCAGTGTTGTCATTCTCTGTGCTGTACCTAGCTCCAAGGTCGACTCACCATCTCCAACTGCACTTTTAAAGGGAATATTATTCAGCATTTCTATGAAACTTGATTGTTTTGTTTTGTTTTGTTTGATGGTTACGAGCATTAAAAACATAATTTAAACTCCTTCCAAAACGAATACATTGTATTTCACAAAATTAGTCTGTTCTCAAAATGGTAGACATACCGAAGGAATACTGCTGATGTCCTGGGACAAGAATGTTGTACAAAAATTCAAAAGTTTTTTGCGCAAAACTATTCTGGCTTGTGGGAGTTTGATTTTTTTCAGAAAAAGAAAAGTCTGGCTCTTAGAGTTAAGTTTGACTTAGGATTTTTGTGAAACAACCCCCTGGACATCCTGCAGATCAGTTTTTAAACTGCAGCGATTAATATCTAAACTATTGTATTTCCATTCAAAATAGATATTATTAATTTCCCCCTATCTTTTCCACTTAGGTAACTGAGCACTGAGCATTGTTTCATCAAAACAAGTTGCAGGAGCAGCACAGACAACCTGTAACACGATGGGTGACGTAGATGCAATCGAGAGCGGGAAGCAGGAGTACACTCTGAGGCCACGCAACCGGGACTGGAAGGAGAGAACCAAGGTGTGGTTCAAGACCAACCTTCTTATCATCTTCACCATAGCGTCAGTACTTTGCGGGATCTTCCTTGGGATAGGTTTGAGGTCCGCAGAGCCTTCTAAAGATGCCATCCTCCTCATCGGTTTCCCTGGTGATGTACTCATGAGGATGCTGAAGATGCTGATTCTCCCTCTTATCGTCTCAAGCTTGATCACAGGTGAGTCTTCTTTAATGCTGTATTAGGGACTTTTAGATTTGCATGGACTGATACGTGTGACGTCCATTTAAGGCAGTGCATTAAGAGGACGTCAATCGTAGCAATCTACGTTGTTGTTCGGCAAATCTAAAAGTCCCTAAAGACCCAAATTAAGGACTCAATTTGAGCTTCAGTTTTGGCTTACTTGATGTAGACTCTAATTCAGATGTAGGAAAGACTTGACTTATTGTGAAACTGATAACTCAACCCCCTCTGTCTCACATTGATTTATGAACAAAGCTCAAATCAGAGACTCGCCTCGGCTAGCTCTTTGAGCTGACTTGTGCTGACTCTAGTCACATTAACAGAAAATACTTGTCAAGGAGCTCGACCACCTATTGACTTGATTTAACAGGGACTCGATCCCTACTGTCTTAACTTGATATTTAAGGATAGTTCAAAGTAAGAAGTCAATTTGCTAACCCTGTGAGCTGACTTGAGCGTACTGGAGTCACAGATAGAAATGACTTGTCATGTAGCCCAAGGACCTATTGACTTCATGTGACTGGTACTCAATCCCTGCTGTCTCAACTCAACATATGGGTATAGCTTGAGTCAGAGACTCAACTTTATAGCTTTTTGAGCTGATGTATGTAAGCTGACTGGTTTCACAGAGAGAAACTCAACTCAATCAAACTAGGATTCAATCCTTGCTGTCTCATATGAACATAGCTCTAGGATACAGCTGTTTTGCAGTGTCTTGTGTTTAAAATTTAGACAAATGTAGGAGTCAATCTTGACCCCTGCTTACCCAACTGAACAAAAAAAGCCAGCTTTAGCTACATCACTTTCAGTGTTTTAATAGCTTGAGTCTTATTCTCAGATTTGGTGACGGTATAGGAGGAAAAGTTTAGACTTGACACTCTATTGACTCTTCCCTAAACTTGACCCTTGTTGAATCAACATGAAATATCAGTTTAGCTTTAGGGACTCAATTATGCTTGTTGAGTCATGGACTCAAGTCCAACTCAAAGGTGAGAGGCTCGACATCCAGATGGCTCAATTCTGAGCTTTACCTGATTCTTATATACTTTAATAATAATGATGATAATAATAATAGGCATTTCTATAGCGCCATCTATCTAGATAATTATATTCCGAGGCACATTTATTATTACCCCGGCTTTAGCCTAGCAGCTGTTCATACAGCGCTCCAGCATTTCAAGGAATTGATTCCTGCCAGGTACCCATATACATCACCTGGGTTGATTGTGGCAAATGTAGATCAATGTCTTGTCAAAGTCATTAGTGCCGCGGCAGGACTCGAACCGCGGACCTTGCGATCGACATTCCGGCGACGGATCCACTCGACCACGACACCTCTACCTTTAATTGACCAATTTAGAAACATCCATTTTTTTTCTTCAGGTCTTTACCATAAACAGATATATTCTAATGGAATATGTGCAAAGATATGTTTATGAGTTTTAGAAGTTGCTTCAGTGGTTGCACTTAATTTCCAGCTAACAAAGCACACCTGTTAATTGTTTCCATCATCACCACCCTGTTTAGGTCTAACGGGCCTTGACGCCAAATCTAGCGGAAAGTTAGGCGGGAGGGCGCTTCTCTACTACTTCTGCACGACCTGCATCGCCGTCATCATTGGAATCATCCTGGTAGTAGCCATCCGCCCCGGGAGAGAGAACATCAAGAAGAATCTCGGAGACGGTAACCAAGTGAAGGAGCTCACCACCCTGGATGCGTTCCTAGACCTCCTCAGGTAAGAAGATGGACCATTTCTATCAGATGTTGCATTAAAAAGAGGGAGCATAATATTCCTAAACTTCGCTGTTAAGCAGGGTTGTCCACAAACCACATGTGAATTTGAAACTTGGAATGACTATGAACTGATATGTGCCAAGTTCAAAATCTCTTGTCGCCTTGGTCCATACTAAGGCTCACTCAATGGCTCACTCTAGGGCTCTAAAGGGTTATTATTTGCTCTCTGGTGCAACCTCAGCCATATTTGGGAGAATTTTCAACAAATAGTATGATTAATACTTACAAAATAATTTGGTTGTAAATAGATTTTAACATGTCACTGATTTTCAAACCTGTAGTTTCAAGCTTCAAAACTGCAGCTTTTTTTCGAATATGTAATTTGGACATCAGCCTGGACATTGGCCTGGTTTTTAGCCTGAGACCTCTTGGTTTTGAGATCACTTCTCTGCCGCAGGGCCATCATGTCTTTATTACTTTTCTGTTATTCCAACCTTTTCTTAAATTGAATATCCTTACTCAAAGAACAGTTCATTGGAAAGTCTAAGTTGTAATCCACCGATTTAGAAAGAGCAATGTTCCACAATAATAATGCTCTTTCAGTATTTCTATTTAGCCTCTCATTTAACTAAATAAGGAACTGCAAAACGAAAATAAGATTGGGTTCGTCACCCTAAAGTACAACTACTGGTACCTCTCCAAGTTTTCTCGCAAAATACTGTTTAGAAAGATCCATCATATTTCCTCCTTTCTGACTGTTCAGTTCTCTCTTCTATAATTTGTTTGGCTCCCAAACTGCTGAGTACTTATATTTTAACAAGAACCCTGGATTTTCTTATTACAAGATGCACTAAGACCCCTTTTGTCTCTTTTTTTATGGGGGGACAGAAGAAAAAATATCCCATTTCGTTCTTCATGTTTTAAAATAGGTTTCTCCCCAATGCCGGGGCCTGAGGTGGTGTTTCTTTCAACTGTACCACCTGAACAAATCAACCACATGTTGCTAATAGGCCAAGATGTTTTCAAGCTCTTCCTCATTATCTGTGAGAAGTTTGCAGTGGAGCCAGCTTGACAAAATGGTTCTTTGTTGATCTTAGATTGGACAGATGTACCCTTTGAAGGAGGACATTTATGCCCTCCTGCCTCCTGACACCCCCTCCCCCTTCTTCATCTCAAAGCATGCATGGCCCACCTCTGTGTTACTATAGGTCTGTCGTCATCAGCCCGAGTTGGTCAAATACATGTAGCTCACTATTTTGTGATCTGGGAAATTACAAATCACGTCTTCATTAGTTCAAAACTCAAGCCCGAGAAATTTGCTCAGTGTTTATGCATAGTGCGAGTCTTTGGGCTGGTGAAGACAGTCCACAAATAGCCCAAGATATCTTGGGAAGATTTCCCGACCAAATAGCCCGCTATTTGCATGGTCGCTTGCCAAATAGCCAGCTATTTCCTGATCTGGCGAATTTCCCCGATCAGAAATAGCGGGCTATTTGGCCAGCTCGGGCTAACAAAGATAGTCGTATTGATATTTTCTGTTTTGATCCAGGAAGACGTTAACTTTTAATTGTACACAGAGATAATACCCTTCTGCTCCTAACAGATAATACTCTTTGTCAGTTGGTGCAAGAAGGGCACTCACAAAGAATATCATTTGTTGTTAGAGGTGACATTGTGAAATATGGAAGTCATTAGACTAGAAGGGTTAAATGGGCCTGAGAGAGAAAGAGAGAGAAAGAGATAGAGAGAGGGAGAGAGGGAGAGAGAGAGAGAGAGAGAGAGAGGGGGAAGACAGAAAGAGAAAGAGGGGGGGGGGGGGGAGAGAAACATATTCTTTAAGCTGATTTTTCTTACCTTTGGCTAGCTTGTATTTATGTTTGACAGATTCAAAGAGAACCCAGAATTCTTAAGACTTAGATTTAAAACAAGCGTGACTCAACATGACGTGCGAACTATACACATGCTTCTGGCTATCAAACAAGCATTGTCGTTACTAATCTCATGTACTCACCAAATGATTCCTGACGGTAAATTGAGCATGACGCTGAACATTGAACCCTGACAAACATCATTTTAAGGAACATTCACATGAAAGATTTTAAAAAATGGAGACTTCCAGAAGACATGCTTTACCTAGAATTAAGTGTCCCCCAAAAGTTGTGAAAAATTCCCAGGACATTTATTCTTCACAGATTATGTTTACATACATGTATACCTTCTCAAAATGTTTTTGTAAATTTCTATGACTCTTAGTTTAGATTGTTCTGAGAAGATACAAAGTTTATTTATTCACAGTGTCTGTATCCTATACTCCAGACAATGCGGTAGTCCAGGTTCCCTTCACTGCAAGTAAAGAAAGAATTAATATGGACGTTCCAAAAGAACTGGGTCATGTTTGATTTATAATAGTCCAGAACAAGGATGTCTACTGTATACAATTTATCTTTATGGAATAATAAATCAATTTTGAGGTCATTCTGACTTTGTTGGGTTAATTGCCCTTTGACATGTTAACCCTATTTCTACAACTCACCAAAATGATATCCAAAAAAATCCATTCCCTGTCCCCCCCCCCCCCCCCCTCAACCATCAAAATAAATTGAGGCCTTTGGAATTTAGGTCCAAACAAACATAATCTATATAATAATACTGTAAGGCGTCGAGGGGGGTATCTGGGGAGTGTTTCGGCTCCATTTTACAGCGCCCAAATCTCCCCTCCCGCCCGCCCCCGGTCGTCGGCGGGCGGTCCCGCGGACGGACGACGTTTTAATCCACCCATTTGGCCACGTCCCCGTTCGAACTTCGGTCGTGGTCGCCGTCGACGTCGATAAAGGCGGTTTCGGGGTCCCGGGGAGGACGGGCGGACGAGAGCACGGCGGGCGTGGTGGATTGCAAGGAGGCGACGAACCTGTGAGAGCGAGTCGGGAAGGCGTGCATCCGCCCTCTATGCAATCAACAAAGAGACTCACAGCGGACGAGAATCCACTTCTGTCAATGGGTGTAGCACATCACGTAGTAACGGTTGTGGCTTACCCCGAGTTTAGGCCTCTTGCTATAGGATACGCTTTGTAGCATGTAAGAGAAATACACATTAACAGATGACTCACACGGGTGAGGGGATGTAAAAAAATGCACGCTCTCACGGGTTGGGCTTACCCGTGTTATGCGTCTTTTTATAGGATATATGCTTTGTAGGCCAGCCCGGACCTGCTGCGTGTACGAACGCGAATGTATGCGATGATTCTACGCTCACCGTCTCACGCACAGCTCAGTCGCTTCGTCTTTGATTCTATGATGATTGCCGTGATTTGTATATAGTTTACGTGAATAGAGGTATGCAAGCAGGGTTACTTTGGTATTATCCTGTTCATGTTTACTGAATTTTGAAAATCATTCTTCAAAGTAAAGTTTTCACAAGAAATTCATCGTAACTGACAGTTCAGTTGCAAGCTAGCTGCCGTGAGGCACGGGCAGTGCAGTGCGCCACTCCTGCCGAGCACTGTCGGAACTGTGACTGTGTGTGAGGTGGGGTGAGCTGAGCTGAGCTATTATAGAGTAGACTCGACAACATTTTGAAATTGCTCTTATTGCCCCTATATTTCAATATAGTTTCGTGACTATAGAGGTATGAAACCTGAGCTTAGATCGCGATTATTCTGTCCATGTATAGTTGTATGCTAAATTTCGATAATCATTTTTCAAAGTAAAGTTTTCACAAGAAAATCAGACGGTGGTTTAAAAACATAGCCATTGGCATTGTCTATAGCTGGATAGAATACTTTTACTATGATACAGTTCCTTCATCAAATCAATGCATTAAAACGGGTATTACGGTGCGTCATTCATGGTCAAACAGCGTTATAAAAATCGTCTAGATTCTAGGCCTAGACCTTATATATATATGTGATGTAGTAGAAATAGGATGTGATGTTTAATGGAAAAAATTAATCAGTAATCATAGCTATCTCTAGCCCTTTTCTTCCCCAGAACTCTGGGGCTTAAAACCGGCCGTAATTGCAGCAGATGCTGTATTTTCTGAGCTGAAGTGAATTTTCATTTTTTTAAATTGAACCGGTTGATATATTTCATTGACGTTTCTTACAGGTATTCGGACAATGATCCCGGTCAACTTGATACCTCATTCATGAATAACGGAGCTGTATTTCTTGCGTACGCGAAGAAAATGACCGAAAAGAAGCTCGCCACGCAAACACAGAAATTTATGAATATCAATCATTATTTTTAATTAAAATATAATAGGTCTATTTTAAATTTAAATCAGTCAAGTCTTTATTTGATATTTATTAGCTTATTTTTAATTAAAATATAATATTTTAAATTTAAATCAGTCAAGTCTTAATTTGATATTTATTAGCTTATTTCATGATGAAATCAATTATAAATACAATTGTAAATAGAATTGTTATATATGTCAATCTTTACGGAAGCTAAAGGCTGAAAAGTTTGATGCCGCGGACGAACGCAAAATGGCTGCCACAGCAAAGAGCGCCCGTTTAACGGGCGCAAACAGCTAGTCTATATAAGTAATACGCTAAGGCTCCGCGGGGGGCGCGACGTCTCGGCGAGCCTTTGTATTCTATTGTTTTTTAATGAGATCGCCGACCCAAGTTGGTGCGGCTATCTCCTCCTGAACCCTCCCCTCGGGGTACCGGTGACCGGTGCCGTCGTCCGCGGGAGAGTCTACTCTAGCGAATTGGCTATACTCCGCCCGAGGTCCTCCTCCGTGTCGACGTCCAGGGCGAAAACAGACGCGACATGCATAATGCAGGATATGCGTGACGACAGAGATACCTCATGGATATTCAACATTACATCCGTAGACACACGACCGATGACTTGTATACACAAAAATCGGTCGTAAAAAAAACTCGAACCATATTCCATACCTTACCTGGCTTACCATGTCGCACGCAAGTACGCCAAAACACGTACATTTTCGCAGTTGCGAGATCGAGACGGAGCGTAGGGCTCGAGTTTTTG